ACCAGGTTTTCTCAGTCCTCCGCTCCACGTTATCTTTCACCTCACTATCCCACCTTTTACACGGTCTCGGCTCCTGAGAAGCGTTGCAGTGTACTGATAGCTTTCAAACGCAATCTCCCTTTTGTCTGTGCTTGGAAAATAGCGGACCCCACAGGCAGATATTTGCTTCTGCAAGGCACCTTCTGGGACCAGGTGGTTACTTTCGTCTCTTACTATGTGCCTAATCGTTTTCAGCATAAATTCTTTTTGCATCTTTGCACCATTGTTTCCCGACACTCCAAGGGTCTTCTTCTTGTTTTGGGAGATTCAAATGTTACCTTGGATTCAACATTGGATAGGTGCTACGCGTGGGGGGCGGCCCCTTCTTACAACTTAGTGCTGGAGGAACATATGCGCTCTCTCTTGCGGACGGCGGGGCTGGCGGACGTCTGGAGGGAACTTCACCCAACTGAGCGTGACTTTACATTCTATTTCAATCCTCATGACAGTTTTTGTAGAATTGACCATATATTTATGCATGTTCAGCAGCTTCCCTTGGTCGGGCGGATAACTATTCCCTCCTCACCCTGGTCGGACCATGATCCCTTGGTACTCCTCCTTGCCCTCTCTGGGTCAGAACAGCGCCCTTTTCATTGGCGCATCAATGAGTCTTTATTGACCACTCAGACTACCTGCCAACAAATAGAATTTTTCTTACAAATATACTTCACGAAAAACTCGGGATTGGTCTTTTCGGCTGTGCCCCTATGGCAGGCGCATAAGGCCACGGTGCGGGGTCATGTTATACAGCTGGCGGTGGTCTGGAAGCGGGAGCGCTGACATTTGGAGCTTTATTCTCTCCTGGCCTCTGCGGATGCGTGTTGAAAGTCATCTCCATCCACGGCCCATAAACGCGCTCAGGACGCTCTCTGGCGGCAGAGTTGGACCTACTTGCCTCTTCGGAGGTGGAACGTGCCTTGCGTTGGACCAAACACAAATTTTATTCCTGTGCTAATAACTCCGGCCCGATGCTGGCCAGGAAACTCAATTCGGTGGGGAAAAAAAAACGATCCCCATAAACCGATCCGACTGCGAATTCCCACAGGTGGCTGTACTTCTAATCCCCAGCAGATTGTTTCCCGTTTCTCAGACTTCCTTTCACGCCTCTACACTAAACCAGATCCCTTCTCTCTGTGGCTCAAGCAGAGGCATTCTTTCAAGATCGTTGACTTCCTGGGTTATCCGAGGCAGCACAGGTGGCCCTCAATGCCGGTGTCACCGTACCGGAAGTGCTCCAAGCTATCAAATCTTTACGGTCCACCGCGGCCCCAGGTCCCGATGGCTTCTCCGGTCTCTATTATAAGAAATTTTCAGCCCTGTTGGTGCCCTTTTTGGCTGACTATTTTAATGAGTTACGACAGGGCTCCTTGCCCTCTCCAGACGTGCCTAGAGTGCATATCGCCATGATTCCTAAGACCACCGATGATATACAGGAACCGCAAGCCTTCCGGCCCATTTCTCTTCTTAACGAAGACCTGAAGATAATGGGCAAGATCCTTAGTTTTCGCATCAATAAATATTTGCGTAGCCTGGTCCACAGGACCAGGTAGGGTTCGTCCCTGGGAAGCAGGCGGGTGATAACGTTCGCAAGGTGGTCCATCTTATACATTTTCTGCAACAGCGGAAAATCCCGGGATTCTTACTGTCCTTAGACTTATATAAAGCCTTTGATTCTCTATCCTGGGAATATCTGCGGTTTGTGCTGTCTCGTTGGGGTTTTGGGGATTCTATTCTTTCTTGGATTCAAGCCTTGTATTCTTCTCCTTCGGCCTCCGTTAAATATGCTGGGTATTTTTCAGATCCCTTTCCTATTGGGCGAGGGACGAGACAGGGTTGCCCCCTGTCCCCGGCGCTTTGTCCTGGTGCTTGAGCCGCTAGCTTTAGCGCTCCAGACCGATTGCAATGTATCGGGGGTTCCTTGCACGGGACAGGAGTTCAAGCTGAACCTTTTTGCGGACAATGCCCTCCTGACTCTTACTAACCCCCGGACGACGCTTCCAAATTTGCAACAGGTTCTTGAGCGCTTCTCCTTGATTTCGTGTCTCCGTATTAACTTGGATAAGACTGTCACTCTCAGTATTACTTTGGCTTCAGATTTGGTTTTGCGTCTACAATCCCACTTCCCTTACAAATGGGCTTCCTCTTCTCTTGAATACTTAGGCATTCGCTTGACCCCCACCTATAACTCCTTGTTTGCTGCAAATTATTATCCATTGCTTAGCTCTCTATCCTCTCTTATTCATTCTTGGCAATTTCTGCACCTGTCTTGGATAGGACAGGTTAATTCAGTGAAAATGACCATCTTGCCGAAATTGTTATATTATTTTCGCACACTCCCAGTGCGGGTTCCCCCTCATTTTCTTTGGTTGCTTCAGGCGAACTTTATGCGTTTTATCTGGGCCGATAAGCACCCCAGAGTATCCAGAAATACGTTCTTTGCTCATAGACTCCAGGGTGGTCTTGGGGTGCCTAATGTAACTAAGTATTATCAGGCGAGCCAGATTGCCCCGCTGTCTATGTTGCACGCCTCTTCTGACGTTCCCCTCTGGGTCCTGTTGGAACTACCTAATTGTGCCCCTATCGCAACGTCGACACTTCTATGGCTTCCCCCTGCCCTGCGCCCTATGGCACTGAGTACGATGTTGCTCCATGGCTTACAAGTCTGGGACTCGGTACGTTACTCCAGTGGCCTGATGTCACCTTTTCTGCCTTTGCCCCCAATTATTAACAACCCACTTTTCCCACTGGGTTTAGATCACCAAGGGCGTTTTCTTGGTGGGTGACTAATGGTTTTTCGCAGGTGCGACACTTTTTGATTTTTCGGTCCTTCCCCACCTGGAATTCTCTTCGGGAATCCTGGGATGTCCCCCTGGCGGAATTCTTTCGATGCCTTCAATTGCGGCACTGGCTGCTCTCGCTGCGGTACACTTCTGCTTTCCCGTACCAGAAATCTGCCTTTGAACAGCTTTGTCAGCAGTGTCCGGGCGCCCCGGGCCTTATATCCCTTCTTTATGCAGCTCTGAACAGACGCTTGTCGCATACTTCTCTTACATATGTTGTTCAGTGGGAGCGCGACCTGAGAGTGGCTGTGGATCCAGAGGACTAGAATAAGGCCTGGTCACTCATAGCTAAATGCACATTTAATACGACCACGCTGGAGGCAGCCTATAAAGGTATTGTTTAGTTGGTATTGGGTTCCGGTTCGGATTGGCCCAGGCTAACCCTGCCTGTAGTAATCAATGTTTTCGGGGTTGTGACCATCATGGAGATGTATTGCATATCTGGTGGTCATGCCCGAGACTTTCGTTTTTGGTCTCGTGTGTTTGGCCTCCTTTTCACCTTGTTCCATCTCTCCATAGGCCGGGATGCTCAGTATGCCTTGCTTCATTGCCCCATACCGGGCCTCTTAGCTCACCAGCAGAAGTTAGCTTCCTATTTGTTTTTATCGGCCAATAGAACAATTGCTCAGGCCTGGAAGAGTCCGTTTGCCCCTCTTCAGGGGGTGCGGGATCGTATAACCACTATGATGCTCAATGAACAGATATCGAGTATCTGCAATGACTCCCAACGTAAATGTTTTAAAATATGGGAGCCGTGGTTGCAATATGCCTTTCCCACGCTCCCCCCGGCTAGTCTGGGGATGTAATGGCATTTGGTATTGGCGCTTTTGGACCCCTGCTCTTTGTTTTTTTTTTTCTTCCTTTCTCTGTTTGTTTTTGGTGTGACAGTGGACAGCTGTCTTTAGTTGTTATAGTCAGTTACATTAATGTTTTGTAACTTATGTGCCATTGATAGCCCCTGCGTGGGCGTACCTTTTGCCCTATTGGCGTTAGAGCACTTTTTTTTTTTTTTTTTTTTCCATTTTTTTTATCTGTGCAATGGATAGCCCCTGCGTGGGTGTGTGTTTTGTTGCCTCTGTTTTATACGGTTGAAAAATTAATAAAAACCATTGAAATATAAAAAAGGGGAGTGAAAAGAGGAATAGAAATTAGATGTTTACACATACGAAGCATGAATAATGCAGGTGGATTTGAATAATATAATTAATAATGCTGATAATTGTGATAATAATAATGATATTAGTAATAATAAAACTAAATAGTGATGATAATGATGCATATAAAAAGCGTTACTATAAATACATGGAATACATAAACTTGATGCATACGAATAGGTAAACTGTATATACAATTAAATTCATATGTATATAAATATTTCTATAAGGCTAAAATAGTAAATAGATGAATAGTTACTACAGTATATTTACATCAAGAATGACAGAAAAAAATACACTGCTCAAAAAAATAAAAGGAATTTTTTTTAATTAATCAGTTTCAGCTGCTGTGGTGTTAATAAAATTAACAACAGGTGGATTAGATGGGCAACAATGAGATGACCCCAAAAACAGGAATGGTTTTACATGTGGAGGCCATTGACATTTTTTTCCCTACTCATCTTTTCCGACTGTTTTTCACTAGTTTTGCATTTGGCTAGGGTCAGTGTCACTACTGATAGCATGAGGCAATACCAGGACCCTACAGAGGTTGCGCAGGCAGTCCAACTCCTCCAGGAATTATTAATGTGCCATTGCCAGAAGGTTTGCTGTGTCTCCCAGCAAAGTCTCAAGAGCATGGGGGACATTCTAGAAGACAGGCAATTACTCTAGGAGAGTTGGACAGGGCCGTAGAAGGTCCTTAACCCATCAGCAGGACTGGTATCTGCTCCTTTGTGAAAGGAAGAACAGGATGACCACTGCCAGAGCCCTACAAAATTACCTTCAGCAGGCCACTGGTGTGACAGACTTCATGAGGGGGGCTGGAGGGCCCAACATCCTCTAGTGGGCTGTCAAGGTCCTACCTTTTCCCTGAGGTTATGTTACTCCATGTGCTGGCGTCCATCTTGGATTCTGCTGAGCATGGTGGGAATCCTTTTTATGCCTTCAGGTCTCTGAGGTCCACCCCCCCAGAGGGGCGTGGCTGATGACATATAAGCCTGTGGCCCGCACATGCTCTTTGCACTTGTGTCTTGTGTCTTTGTGTTACTATTACTCTGTTCTGACTCTCGTGACTCTCCTGGTATTCTGATTCGGCTTGTGACTTGACTATTCTTTGTATTCTCCTTTGATCTGACCCTCTGTTGCTGAACCCGGCTCGTGACCTGTGATTCTCGTCTGCTGTCCTGTACTGTTTTGTCCTGTTGTTGTTGACCCCGGCCTGTCTGACTACTCTTTTGTCTCTTCCACCAGCTACACGCCATTGGCGGCGGCCATTACCGCAGCTGAGGTTTCTTGGGGGCCGCGACCTGGTTCCTGGCTGCGTCAAGTCCATCCCCACCATCAGGGGCCCTGGTGAAGGGCAGCCTGGGACTTAGACTCCGCTCCCTGAGGGACTTTGGTCTGTGGGTGGTGGTTGTCGTCAGCCAGTGCGTTACATTGTTAGGCCTGCCTGTCCGTTCCTCGGCTCCTGCCCTGACATTACACAAGTGCCATGAACCCTGACGGTGCAGACACGCCTTCGCTCCCTACGCTAGTCGCCAGACTCGATCAACAGGATCACCTGTTGGATCAGTTCGCTCAGGCGTTGCAAACTCTGCTTGCACGCACTGCACACCTTGCTCCTGGTGCTATTAGGCCGGTAGTCACTCCGGTGGTCTCTCCCGCTGCTTCTCCGCCTATTGCGTCCACCACCTCGGCGGCTGCATCAGCGGCACCCAGAGGTATGACTGGCTCTGTCCCTCTTCCACAGCGCTTTGGGGGTGAGCCAAGTCAGTGTCGTGGGTTCCTCAACCAGGTGGGTATTTATTTTGAATACCCCACGCCTTCCCGTCTGAGAGGTCAAAGGTTGGGTTCCTAATTTCACTACTCTCAGACAGGCCTTGGCCTGGGCAAATCCCTTATGGGAGAGGAACGACCCGGTGATTCAAGATTTTTACGGTTTTGTTGATGCCTTCCGTAGGGTATTCGACGTACCTCGGCGGCCAAGCTGCTCATGACCATGCACCAGGGTTCACGGACCGTGGCCGAGTACGCCATAGAGTTTCGTAACCTGGCGGCAGAGGTCGGTTGGAACAATGAGGCTCTGGTGGCTGCGTTTTCCCATGGTCTTTCTGACAAACTGAAGGACGAGATTGCAGCTAAGGAACTGCCTGTGGTGTTGGAGGAGCTCATCTCTTTCCTGATCCTGATTGACACCAGGCTAAGGGAGAGGCCTTCACTCAAGGAACGCCTGCGAAGGCCTTCCAAACGACTGGCACCTGCATTTTCTGTCCCACCCGTTCCTCCCTCTCCTCCCACACCTCCTGGGGATAGATTGTCTGGTGGTGAGCCCATGCAGCTGGGGTTTGCTCGCCTTTCCGAGGGAGAGCGGGCCGCTCGGCGTCGGGAGGGTCGCTGCCTGTACTGTGGTCTTGGTGGGCACTTTCGGCAGTCCTGTCCGGTCCGTCCGGGAAACGCTCGCACCTGAGTTCATGTCGGGGACAGATCTTGGGTGGAGTCTCCTCGTCCCCGGCGTTCCGCAGAGATAAGCCACTGATCACCGTTGTCCTCTCTTGGGCGGAGGGCTCGGTGACGGCCCAGGCGTTGGTAGATTCTGGGGCCGGCGGGTTGTTTATGGACAGCTCGTTTGCTGCCCAGCACTCCATTCCCCTGCAGGCTCGAGTTACCCCATTGGTTCTCGAGGCGATAGATGGCAGGCCCCTGCAACCACCGCAGGTTACCCACGAGACTGTGCCAGTGGAAGTAGCTATTGGGGCTGTTCACAGGGAGTTGGCCTGTTTCCAGGTGATTTATTCTCCGCACTATTCTGTGGTTTTGGGGTATCCCTGGCTCCAGAGGCACAATCCAACCTTCAATTGGAAAACAGCTGAGATTCTCTCGTGGTCTCCACAGTGTGGGGCCGGGTGCATCCGTGGGCCGGTTAAGGTGTTGTGTGCCTCCTCGGACTCTGCGTTGCCCTCTGATTATGGGGAGTACCAGGACGTGTTTGATAAGGTACGCGCTGGTGCCTTACCTGCTCATTGTCCTTACGACTGCGCCATATCCTTGCAACCCGGTGCCACTCCTCCGCGTGGCAGGGTGTATCCTCTCTCGGTTGCGGAGAATAAGGCCATGGAGGAGTACGTTGCGGATGCGCTTTCCCGGGGGCACATTCGTAAGTCTACTTCCCCAGCAGGAGTGGGCTTTTTCTTTGTAAAGAAGAAGGGTGGTGAATTGAGGCCTTGCATTGATTATAGGGGTCTTAATCGAATCACCACTAAGAATGCCTACCCGATTCCCTTGATTACTGAGTTGTTCGACCGCCTTAAGGGGGCAACAGTCTTTACCAAACTTGACCTTAGTGCGGCGTACAACCTCGTACGGATCAAACAGGGGGATGAGTGGAAGACCGCGTTTAACACCAGAACCGGTCACTACGAATACCTGGTGATGCCCTTCGGGTTGTGTAAAGCACCCGCAGTTTTTCAGGAATTCATAAATGATGTCCTTCGTGACTTGTTGCAGCAGTACGTGGTAGTTTACTTGGATGACATCCTGGTTTACTCTGCCTCCATGGAGTCCCATATCCAGGTATTCCATCGATCCCAAGTTGCCTTTTTAGGCTACATCATTTCTGCGGAGGGATTCTCCATGGACCCTCAGAAGGTTTTGGCGGTTCTGCAGTGGCCTCGTCCCAATGGCCTTCGGCCCATTCAGCGCTTTTTGGGTTTTGCCAACTACTATCGAAAGTTCATCCAGAACTTCTCCACGCTGGCAAAGCCTCTCTCAGACCTAACCAAGAAGGGCAGTAATCCTCACGAGTGGCCACCCGAGGCCATCGTAGCGTTCGAGGCTCTGAAATCCGCCTTCGCGTCGGCTCCGATACTGTCTCATCCCAATCCTGGGTTGCCCTTCGTCCTCGAGGTTGATGCATCCGAGACGGGAGTAGGCGCTCTCCTGTCTCAACGTCGGTCGCCCAATGGACCCCTACTTCCCTGTGGGTTCTACTCCAGGAAGCTTTCCTCTGCAGAGTGCAACTACCAGATTGGAGATAGGGAGTTGTTGGCAATCATTCTGGCTCTCAAGGAATGGAGGCACCTGCTCGAGGGCTCCGCGGTTCCGGTCCTCATTCTTACCGATCATAAGAACCTGACTTATCTTTCGGAGGCCAAAAGATTGACACCCCGCCAGGCCAGATGGGCTCTGTTCTTGTCACGCTTCAACTATGTGGTTTCATATTTGCCTGGTTCCAAGAATGTCAGGGCTGATGCGTTATCACGGCAATACTCTGAGTTGTCCAGGGAAGACTCTGAGCCAATCTCAGTTATTCCTCCAGATCAGATCCTGGCTGCCATTCGCACCAGTCTGACCTCTCCTCTTGGGGAGCAGATTTTGGCGGCTCAATCTGATGCTCCCCCCCGGGAAGCCGGAGGGTAGATGTTTTGTACCCGAGGGATTGCGCACCCGCCTGCTGCGTACCTACCATAATGCCAAAACTGCCGGGCATCCGGGGAAGAACCAGCTGTGTGTTGGGTCGTCTCTCGCTTATTCTGGTGGCCAACCCTCCGTGCTGACATTGCCTCTTATGTAGCGGCATGTTCGATCTGTGCCCAGAATAAGTCTCCACGGCATCTCCCTTTGGGTCTTCTGCAACCCATTCCCAATGGGGAGCGTCCTTGGTCACATCTAGGTATGGACTTTATTGTAGACCTCCCGGTGTCTCGGGGTCATACGGTCATCCTCATGATCGTCAATCGGTTTTCCAAGATGTGCCATTGCATTCTCCTCAGGAAATTACCAACAGCGCAAGAACTGGCCACAGTCTTTTCCAGGGAGATTTTTCACCTGCATGGGTTGCCTAAGGTGATTGTCTCGGACCGCGGGAGTCAGTTCGTGTCCAGATTCTGGCGCGCCTTCTGCTCCCAGTTGGGTATTAGTCTCTCCTTTTCCTCAGCCTACCACCCGCAGTCCAATGGGGCTGCGGAGCGTTCCAATCAGGCCTTAGAACAATTCCTTCGGTGTTATATTTCAGACCATCAGGACGATTGGGCCGATCTTCTGCCTTGGGCAGAGTTTGCCAGGAACTCGGCGGTCAACTCCTCCTCCGGGATGTCGCCCTTCATGGCCAACTATGGGTTCCAACCCGCGGTATTACCTGAGAGGTTCTCACCACAGGACATTCCGGCTGTGGAGAACCATCTTGCTGCCCTGCGTTCTTCATGGGGGCAGATCCAGAGGGCCTTGAGGGACTCAGCTCAGCGCCAGAAGTTCCAGCCTGATCGCAGACGGTGCCCGCTCCTTCATACCAGGTCGGCGATCGGGTGTGGTTGTCTACTCGCAACCTCAATCTTCGGGTGCCCACACCCAAACTAGCTCCCCGTTTTGTTGGTCCTTTCCGCATTCTCCGCAAAGTGAATCCGGTGGCCTATGCCCTTGCCCTTCCGTGGGGGATGCGGATCTCCAATATCTTTCATGTTTCCCTGTTGAAACCTCTGATCTGCAATCGCTTCACTACCTCTCTGCCTCGGTCCCGTCCTGTCCGGGTTGACGGTCATGAGGAGTATGAGGTGAGCGGATCCTGGACTCTCGATTGGTGCGCGGTCGATTACAGTTCCTGGTTCATTGGCGCGGTTATGTCCTGAGGAGCGTTCCTGGGTTCCTTCCGCGGATGTCCATGCTCCTGCACTCCTCCGCGCTTTTCATACCCGCTTTCCTCAGAAACCTTTTGTTGAGCCGCGGAGGGGGAGGGGCCCTTGAGGAGGAGGTACTGTCAAGGTCCTACCTTTTCCCTGAGGTTATGTTACTCCATGTGCTGGCATCCATCTTGGATTCTGCTGTGCATGGTGGGAATCCTTTTTATGCCTTCAGGTCTCTGAGGTCACCCCCCAGAGGGGCGTGGCTGATGACATATAAGCCTGTGGCCCGCACATGCTCTTTGCACTTGTGTCTTGTGTCTTTGTGTTACTATTACTCTGTTCTGACTCTCGTGACTCTCCTGGTATTCTGATTCGGCTTGTGACTTGACTATTCTTTGTATTCTCCTTTGATCTGACCCTCTGTTGCTGAACCCGGCTCGTGACCTGTGATTCTCGTCTGCTGTCCTGTACTGTTTTGTCCTGTTGTTGTTGACCCCGGCCTGTCTGACTACTCTTTTGTCTCTTCCACCAGCTACACGCCATTGGCGGCGGCCATTACCGCAGCTGAGGTGTCTTGGGGGCCGCGACCTGGTTCCTGGCTGCGTCAAGTCCATCCCCACCATCAGGGGCCCTGGTGAAGGGCAGCCTGGGACTTAGACTCCGCGCCCTGAGGACTTCGGTCTGTGGGTGGTGGTTGTCGTCAGCCAGTGCGTTACATTGTTAGGCCTGCCTGTCCGTTCCTCAGCTCCTGCCCTGACATGGGCCCTGTGCTCACTGCATTTGTCATTGAACACCAGAATTGGCAGGTCTGCCACTGGCGGCCCTGTGCTTTTCACAGATGAGAGCAGGTTCACCCTGAGCACATGTGACAGACCTGAAGGATTTGGAGAACCTGTGGCGAACATTATGCTGCCTGTAACATCGTTCAGCATGACTGTTTTGGTGGTGGGTCAGTGATGGTCTGGGGAGGCATAACCATGGAGGGACACACAGACCTCTACAGACTAGATAATGGCACTCTGACTGCCATTAGGTATCGGGATGAAATCCTTGGACCCAGTGTCAGACCCTATGCTGGTGAAGTGGGTCCTGGGTTCCTCCTGGTGCATGACAATGCCTGGCCTCGTGGCGAGAGTATGCAGGCAGTTCCTGAGGATGAAGCAATTGATACTATTGAATGGCCCCCAGACTCGCCTGACCTAAATCCAATGAAACACCTATGGGATATCATGTTTCAGTCCATCCAACACTGCCAGGTTGCACCTCAGACTGTCCAGGAGCTCAGGGATGCCCTGGTCCAGATATGGGAGGAAACACCTCAGGACACCCTCCGACGTCTCATTAGGAGCATGTCAGGCATGCATACAAGCATGTGGGGGCCATACAAACTACTGAATACCATTTTGAGTTGCTGTAATTAAATTTCAGCAAAATGGACTAGCCAGCTGCATCATTTTTCACTTTGATTTTCGGGGTGTCTTTGAATTCAGTCCTCTGTAGGTTGATAATTTTCATTTCCATCAATCAATGATGCATCCTTATGTTCCTAACATAATCTATCCACTGCTTACTAGTCGGAGGAGCCGACAATAACCAGTACTTTGCTATCAACTTCCTAGCCAGATATTAAAGTCTAGATACCATAATATACCATACCCTCCTGGTTGGAACACTTCTTGGTCCAGTACCCCCAACAGACAATGCAAGGAATCCCCTGTGAAGAGGATAGCGGCCCCAGCAGGGTAGTAACGGATCGTGGTCCCGTGGGGGTAAGCGGGGTACAGAATCGGCGGGCAAAGAGTAGTCGGGTCACACGCAGGATCAGCAGGGTAAGTCAGTCCGTAGAATGGTCAGGGCAATCCGGGTCAATCACAGGAGCAGGCAGAGTAGTCAGGGCAATCCGGGTCAATCACAGGAGCAGGCAGCGTAGTCAGGGCAATCCGGGTCAATCACAGGGGCAGGCAGCGTAGTCAGGGTCAAACAGGGTCACTAGACGGGTGCAGGAACTCAGAATCACAGATAGACCTTGCGGCATTTACTGACAGTGCAGGGCATCTTTAAATAGTGCGCCCTGCACTGTCATTGGCCACCCAGGACGCGCCCCCGGGCTGTCATTGGCCGCCCGAGGCGCGCCCGCGGCTTCCACTGCGCATGCGCGGCGTCCTGTCATCCGCGGCTCGCCGGGACCTGCTGCCTGTGTCCCGGCGTGAGCCGTCGCCAGCGCGCATGCGCCGGCCGACAGGACGCCGCGATCCCTGACAGTGGTTTACTGCAGCTCCTATTCTGAGCCACCCTGATCCGTCCTTATCATATATCTTGGAGGTAGACGCGTCCGAAAATGCAGTCGGGGCAATCCTGTCTCAAAGGAAGGGCATCAAGGAGCTCATGCACCCGGTGGCCTTCTTCTCCAGAAAACTAACTACTGCCAAAAGGAACTATGACATCGGGGAGCGGGAACTCCTGGCGATCAAGGTGGCACTAGAGGAATGGAGATACTTATTAGAGGGGGCGGTACACCCAATATTGATTTTCACTGACCACAAGAACCTAGAATTTTTGAGAACAGCTAAACGCCTAAGGCCACGTCAAGCCAGGTGGGCACTTTTCTTTTCATGGTTCTCATTCCATATCACCTATAGGCCAGTGTCAAAGAACACAAAGCCAGACACGCTCTCCCGCATGTTTGGGGATCCTGAAGAGATTCCCAAGCCGGATACTATCCTGTCCTCTGGGAATTTCCTAGTCCTCCAATCTGAGCTCCGTTCTAGATTGCAGACCGTGTCTGTAGGAATGCCAGGTCTACCCGGTGTCCCCTTACTGAATAGGGAGGGACTTCTCTGGAAGGAGGATCAGATTGTGGTTCCTGAGGAAGCCCGTACGTTAGAACTAGGATACTGCCACAATCACCTGTTGGCAGGGCATTTTGGGGTACGTAAGACCCTGGAGCTGTTGCAGCGTACATTTTGGTGGCCTAATATGGCCAAGGAGTGCGAATCATATGTGAAGACCTGCCCCGTTTGTCAGAGAAACAAACCAACTAGGGACAAGGCTTAGGGTCTCTTGCGTCCATTACCAATACCTGACAGACCATGGACAATGATCTCCATTGACTTTATTGTGGAACTTCCACCCTCTCAGGACCACACAGCAATCTTTGAGATTGTAGACCGCTTGTCCAAAATGGCCCATTTTGTACCTCTGAAAGACACACCTACGGCCTTTGAGACAGCACGAGTTTTTATTAAGAAAGTGGTAAGACTCCACGGGATTCCCAGGGATATTGTATCTGACAGGGGGGTTCAGTTTACATCTAGGTTCTGGAAGGCTCTATGTGAAACCCTTGGAATTAAGCTATCATTCTCCTCAGCTTACCACCCACAGACCAATGGCCAGACCGAGCGAACAAATCAAACCCTAGAGCAGTATCTCAGGTGCTATACCACCTTCCTCCAAGATGACTGGTTAACTCTCCTGCCACTTGCGGAGTTCGCATATAACAATGCAAGTCACTCTGCTACAAAACAATCCCTGTTTTTTGCAAATTACGGGTTCCACCCTGTATTCCTGCGAGATCTGATCCCGGCCACGCAGGATATGTTAAACTTTTTGTCTTCCAATAGCAAGGTACTACAGGAAGCAATGGCAAAGGCCCAGAGGGACAATAAGAGGGCATTTGATAGGAAGAGAAGAGGGGAATTAAGCTCGCATCCGGAGGACCAGGTCTGGTTGTCCACCGCAAATCTAAAAATGTCCTGTCCATTGAGGAAATTGGCACCCAAATTTCTGGGTGCTTTCCAGGTAAAACGTAAGATCAATGAGGTGGCATACGAGCGCACACTTCCAGAGTCTCTGAAAATTCATCCGGTCTTCCACGTGTCTCTATTAAAACCAGCAACTCCAGACCCCTTCCCGGATCGGAGGTCTAAACCACCGGAGGCAGTAAACATGGACGGGGAGGAGGAATTTGAAGTTGAAGCTATCTTAGATTGTAGGAAAAGGAAAGGCCAAACTCAGTTTCTGGTTAAGTGGGATATGGGGCTGAGGAGAATTCGTGGGAGCCGGCCCAAAATGTGCATGCCCCAAGACTTGTACAGGAATTTTTTCGAAACCAGCTGTCAAGAAGGGGTCGGTTGGGCATCCGGAGGCTGCCCTTAGGGGGGGGGGGGCCCGGTCTTCGCCGCGGCGCGCGAGCATGCGCGGATTGCCCAGGCACATCAACATGCGGGCATTAGGACCTGGGCGCCTGCGGCGGCAATTGCGGCCGCGCATGCGCACTCGTGCACGCGGGCGCGAGCCTGGCACCAATGACGGTGCAGGGCATGCTGTTTAAACTGGCCAGGCAATGTCTTCATTGCCGCAAGGTCTTGTTCCTGTTCTTGTGTTCCTGTAAGTGTGTTGCTTGTTGCCGACCCTGCCTGTTCTGATCTATGCTGACCTTCTCCTGCTCTGACCCCCGGCTCGTCCCTGAACATTCCTCTGCCTGTCGCTACTATTATTTGGACCCTCTGTTACTGAACCCGGCGTGTGACCTGACTACGCTCACTCCTGGCAGTCATCTATCCATCCCGCTCGGACCTGGACCTGTCAGCCCCTTCACAGCAGGCTCATCCCGGGAACATACCCTCAGCGGGACCCCTCTACCATAGTTGGGTGCACCCAGGGGTCGCGATCTGGTTCCAGTCTTGCACCAAGTCCATCCCCACCATCAGGGGCTCTGGTGAAAAGGCAGACTGGGACTTAAGACTCCGCGTCCTGGGGAATCCCGTTCTGTAGACCACTAGAGATCCCGTTGGGCGGAGCCTGACAGAAATAGGTTGGTTTTAAATGATCTTTTCCAGGTTTCAATAATACTATAACAGCTTCATTCATGGAGAGGAGCAAACCATTTCTATCCATGGCGGCATTCAAGGCATTGAGTAATGCTGGGAGGAGTTGCGCACCGTATCTGTTATAGATTTTAAATGGCAATCCGTCTGAACCCGGAGATCTATTACTGGGGTGCCTGCCAAAGCTTCAGATAACTCCTCAACAGTAATTGGCATCTCCAGTTCTCTCTGGTCAGTCTCCGATAAAACAGGAAAAGAGCAGGAGTCTAGAAACTGCAAAAGCTCAGAATGGGTAGTTATAGTTTTAGATGCATACAGATCATCATAAAGTGATTAAAAACATTCAGGATTTCTGCATGACTCGTGCAGATTACTCCATCAGCATTCTCATTCTTGTCCACAGTGGACACCCCTTGTTGTCCACAAGAGCAAGAAGGTGCCGTGTACTTTCCCTTCCTCAAAATATTTTTGTTGCAAAAAATACAGCTTCTTTTCTGCCACTTGAGTAAACACTGATTCATAAAGGGCTTAGGCCTCTTTCCAGGAGGTGCGGTTACAGGGGCTTGAGTCTTGGATCATCTGAACCTCCTGCTGTTGAACATCTAACTGTACCTTTTCCTCCCACTCCCTTGATCTACGCTTAACCACTGAAATCTCCCGTATAATCAAGCCCTGCAAGAAGGCCTTCATCGCATCCCAAACCATTCCTGGCGGGGACAAGCCTTCATTCCACTGCAGAAAGTCTGACAACACGCCTGGAATCTGCTCGGACTCCGGAAACAGTGTGAACGAAAATGGGTTCACCTTCCACAGCAGACGAGAGCGGGTATAACACACCTGTAGCTTGACCCAAAAAGGGGCATGGTCAGATAGAGCTCTGGGTTCGTACGCAGCATCAAACACATATGGCAGGATAGTCATGTTCCCAAGGCCCAAATCTATGCG